GGGGAGAGAGAGAGAGAGACAGAGAGAGAGAGAGAGAGAGACAGAGAGAGAGAGAGAGAGACAGAGAGACAGAGAGCGAGAGAGACAGAGGAGACAGAGAGAGAGAGAGAGAGCGAGAGAGACAGAGGGAGAGAGAGAGAGAGGAGAGAGAGAGACAGGGGAGAGAGAGAGAGACAGAGGAGAGAGAGAGAGACAGAGAGAGAGAGACAGAGGAGAGAGAGAGAGACAGAGGAGAGAGAGAGAGACAGAGGAGAGAGAGAGAGACAGAGAGAGAGAGACAGAGGAGAGAGAGAGAGACAGAGGAGAGAGAGAGAGAGAGAGAGAGAGACCCTATTACTTCCAATCCTGAAATGTTTGGTTCTTCCTCCTTTCATCAGAGTCTGGCTGCACAGTCTTTAAAGCTGAACTCTAGGTCAGTTATTAAAAAATACAGTTGCATATTCCTTTAACACATTTATTTTTAGATACAACCAGCAGAAGTATCACAGTCTGATTTAGCTAATGGTTAGTCACATTTAACTGGATTTGTTCTGTAATGTTGAAGACATTTTGTAGCTTCTCCAAGCCACTTTTTTTAGTTCCAGTGAACATTTGGAGGATACTCAAGCATTTATATTCACAAAGGTCGCACAGAGACCCTTATCCAATCACATTTTCCCCCCAAAGACAGTGAGGTGCTCATTTTGAACAGAGAGGACAAGTGTTCGCAAGAGAGGAACTAATAACCTGGAACAACAGGACCTTTAACCTTATCTGTCTTTTACATATAATGCCATTTATTTTTTTACCCTGGCAATTTGACAAGAATTTACACCTTTAAGTCGGATATACACCAGCCAAACCAATCGGTATCGGCAGCCTTCCGACGAGCATCGCTCGATCAGCAGATCAAAGGAGCAGGTTGGAAAATTCTTGGCTGAACACAGCCTGCAGCCAGTCAACTGCAGGGTCCATTCAGGTAGTCTGACAGCAGTCAGCAGCCAGCAACCATTGTCAGAATATTGTGCAAAACAGCAGGGGATTCCTCCATCCACGCTCCTAAGTGTTGATAGAGGAATCTGTTATATTTTCTTTGTGCAGCTCGCAGGTTAAAAGGAGAACTATGGGGTCAGGACTTTTCCCCATAGTTCTCCTAAGGGTAACGGGAACACAAAAACTAGAGTCCTCTCGTCACCCTAAGCTCGGTATACCGCAAGCTACAGCTCGCGGTATACTGAGACACAGCAGCCGGGACGGATCCCGACATTACTGTCGAGATCCACCCAGCTGCGGGATTGACAGCTGGCTCGGCCTATCTAGAGGCAGAGCCAGCTGTACCCGCCCCCTCCCCCGTCCATTCCGCCAGTCAGCGCTGGAGGATCGGAATCCCTGCAGGGAGACGTGAGTGACAGTCACGGCTCTCTGCAGGGATAGATCGAGAAGTGAGCGAGCGACGGTATGTGTTCGCTCACTTCTTGATCTATTGAGCCGACTGTGACAGTTTCATTGTCACAGGTCGGCTAGAACTATGAGGCTGAGTGATTTTCACTCGCCTCATAATTCTCCTTTAAATGAAAATATATGCATGTATACCCGGGCTTTAGCCTTGCAAATCGAGGAATCAATACCTAGACAACAAGAATGGGATTAGTAAGATGCAACTAGAACAGGATAGTTTCACAACTTTTACACCTCCCATTCTGTTCTTAGACCATCAACATCTAAACATTCCATGGTGATTGGATTAAGGCGTCTGTGCTACTTGTATGTTTATAAATGATGGGGTATCTTCCTGGCGCTGATCGGAACTGAAGAAGTGGCCTGGAAAAGCTGCAAACATCTTTAACATTACAGAACAAGTCCAGTTGAATGTGGCCAACTAGTGCTAGCTATGACATAGATAAATGAGAACTCTCACAGACATATATGCAATATGATTCACCAATAGCTCTCTGTCATTATTTGCACAGCAATACTCAGACATGGAGAGGCAGCACTGGGAGTTTATCAGGCTCTGCTACATGTACAGTAAGAGTGACGGAGCAGAACTGTTGACTTATGGGTATCTTGTTGCTGCATCATTGTCCAATTAACGGTCTGTGGGCAGTAAGGTGACGAACACTGTACTCCTTAATTCTAACAGATAAAGTAGTGTCACCCTCATTGCTGTGCTGTCTGGAAGGTTCAAAAGCATCACAAAAGGGGCTTGACAAAATTATAAATCCTTTGGCAGATTTAATAAAAGGTTACAACATTTTCAAAGCCACATGGAGATGTGACAAAGGCTCTTGGACCTTTAACGAAGATGCAAGATGGCTTCCTGTAAATAACGTTTCTATACATTAGAAATGGTACATGCTGCTGATTTGCTTTTCAATTGTTTTACTTCGTGTTGAAAGCTTTTTGCTATTCCTTATTTCTTGGTTTGAGACCATAATACAATGAGACAACTATTTGTTATTGTAGAGGTGTTCGACTATGCAACATGGGTGATTCTACTACTGGCAACACATCTTTCATTCCCCTTAATGGAATTGCAGCAAGGGAGCAACTAGGAAGGGGGCGACTCCATAACAAGTAAGTGCTTTTTAACAGGAAGCATTGTCAATTTAAAATGCAACAAGGTAATGGTTATAGGATGCATCAGTGGTCATTAGATGTGTTACAAATTAGGTACAGTGTGGCATGAAAAATTGTATCAAGTTACCAATGCAATGAGCTTTATTAACTGATACTGTGTGCAGTATGATGATAATAAATCTACCAGCCCGAGCAAGAAAACAGTCGTGGCTTATCCTCTTTGCAGCATACCAGAACAATTCCTTTTCACAATATGTTTCAACAACTTTGCATTTAGCTGTACATTGATTTACCATTTGTAAAGGTTGGACAAACGTTCACCACACACAAACAACATTTTAATTTCACTGCTTGGTTAAACATTTGCAGAAATTCACTTTAAGGTGTTCACTAGTCTGAACCTAGAAACTCTAAAACTTCTATAAGCTAGTGTCACCACAGCCTTAACAGTAGGGTCAGATGGGGACAGTATCTCAGCGGTTTTTTTTAGTTAAAAACCCATGTGCAGAATTCTCCATGAACTGATAACGGCTGCATTATCTTAGTGTTCTAGTCAATAGGAAATATATTTTTTTTTCTAAAAAAAAAAAGCAAAAACAGAATGATTCTAAAATAAAAGGCTGTGACCATTATAACTAGTTGGAGCATGTGCTTGCTTTTTGCTTATAGCACACATTACTATTAAGTGCTCGCATATTGCAAAGGTTTACTTCCTATGTCAAAGCTGTTAAAGGATACACGCCGAGAGAAAGATTTTGCCACTGATGACCTCGTTCTGAAAATTCTAGCTACCTGGCTGTCTCTGGCTTTAATGTTTTTTTAAGGGACTTGGTCACAAGACTGCCATTGCTTAACTCAGCTTTTAAGGATGCTAATGCCCTGGCTGTCATGCTGATGCCTTGGTTTCAGTGCTGCCCGAGTTGCAGACCTTGAGAATTGAGGAATTCAAATACACATTCATAGTATGCCTGTTCCAGGTCTGGGTATCAAAACTACTCATGTCAGACAGAGTGAATTAAAACAGAAGGTCTAAATCAAACTTTCTCAACCATGGTGGCTCAAAATTATTGCACAGCATCATGCTTTTCCATGGTGCAGGTAGGCTTCTGATGTGAAAGTATCTTCTCCTTATTTGAATGGGGGGCTCTGATGTAAAGGCAGGACTCTAATGTGAATGGGGGCTCCTGATGTAAAGGGGGACTCTTAAAAGGTGGTTCTGGTGTGAAGGGGGGCTCCCGATTCGAAAGGAGAACTCTGACCTGACGTGGGAAACTCATTGAAGGAAATCAAAACCTGGAGCAGCTGTGCATGGCCACCAATCAGCCTCTTTCATTTTCAAATCTCAACTGAACAAACTAAAGAGAGAGGCTGATTTGTGGCCATACACAGCTGTTCCAGTATTGATACATTCCCAAATTATGTCTTTTTCCCCCATAGGGTCACACATCGGTTTTTACATTTAGGCTGGGGTGCCTTGAGATTGTGCATACTTTAAAGGGTTCAGCAACTGGAAAAAGGTTGAGAAATGCTGCTCTACATTACTCCGAGTAACTAAAGTTCAGAAATAGGTCAGCAATGTTAGTATACAGGTTTCTCTCAGCACAAGTTCTCTTTACATGTTCTTTTAACATCTAATTCACGGTGCATGCAATACTCCTGATTACATACATTTGTAATACCACAATGATCGAATTGTTATATGTGTGGCTGGATTAAGTTTGCAAAAGCAGTCGTTTTTAAAATAAACATCAAGGATCTGCTAGTAAATGCATAGTTTTGCTCGCAGAAGTGAAGAACATCGACTTAGATGTTATAACAAACAGAGCTATAATTGTAGCATGTATGTATTAATACCAATAAACTATGGTCTGGACTGTCATGGCCTTGTGCAGTTGTTTGACATACAACTTGCATAAACTTCCCAATCTGCAGAGCTGTAAAATCAATATACAGATATATAAATGAAAATTGAACTTATGTGGCACATCAATAGATAGATGCTGTGGTTTCCGTGTGTCACATCTGCTTGTTCGCATCTTGAAAAATGTACTAAATGACTCAGCCTTTACACAGACCTTGTGGGAAACTTCAAATTAGAATAGCAGTACAGACCCAACATGC